GGTGGTTGGTTATTTTTTTTCTTAAGTTTATTGAGAAAGAAATAGTAATGAGACAGTTTCAAAACAGATTAGTAGGACAGTTACAAGAATTAATGCATTGCATATGTTGTCTTTGTAGTAGTTACTCAGAGTAAAAGACACAGACAGGATATCTTGTCTAAACAGTAACAATACAAATCTTTCTTCTCATTGAACTTAGAGAAAGTAGCTGTATACCTATCCTATTTTTATAGACATATATATTTATTTTTTCATTACAAATTGGTCCTTCATTTATATCCCCATTTTTTGTTTAGTTTTGTCGGAGATGGGTATTCCATTGCCATTCATATATTGTGCGTGTGTGAATTCAGCAAAATAATCCAAAGTAGTCCAGTAGTCCATAATACTAATGGGTTATCTGTGGAACTGACAAGGTCAGATGTTGACTTGAGCCTTCTACATCTCAGCATATTAATATGGCTTTACTTTTTATAACTTGTGTTTATACATTTCTTTTTATTATTTTATGTTTTTAATTTTTTCCCATAATTTTATTGAGAAATAGCAATGAGACAGTTTCAAATCAAATTGGTAGGACAGTTCCAATAATTAACACATTGTATACTGCCTTCCTACTGGTTTTTTGTTGTACAAGATGTAGAAATTATATCCTATTTACAAACACTACTAGAAAAAATCTCTCTATTCCTTGAATTAAGAGAATGTAGCTATATATCTATCCTAACCATTTTGAATACACAGATACAAAATGGACATTCATCTATATCCCATTTTTTGTTTAGTTCCATCATTTAAATATTATAGGTGTATGAATTCAGCAAAATATTCCAAAATAGTCCAGTAGTCTATAATAGTATTGGGTCTTCTGCTTGATGGCAATGTCAGAAGTTGTTGACCTGAGTCCCCTACAGCTCAACATAACAACATGGCTTTATTTCTTGTACTTCGTTTTTATACTTTTCTGCTGGATGGTTAAGACCAAGGTAAAACAAGACCTATGTAACCAGAATTGTAGCTTTTAGATCTTATAAGGTCATCAAATCCCCTCAGGCTTTATCCTGAGACCCTGTACATCAGATTGTAGATCCTTTGTCAGTGTCAGCCATGTGGATGAATCCTGGCCATTGCTTGGCCAATTTGCTCTCTATGAAAGCCTGAGAGAATGTTTTCTCTCCATGTGACTCTCCTTAGGCACACTCTACATCATGGATCACTTTCTTCTTTGGCCCCATAATCTCCTTGATCAGAATATTTGGGACACATTTTTTGCTGGATAGTTAAGACAAAGATACAGCAAGACCTATATACCAAAAAATGTAACTTTTGTATCTGACAAGGTCAGTCAAATCCCCTCAGGATTTATCCTGAAACTATGTACAGCAATTTGTAGATCCTTTGTCCATGTCAGCCATGTGGATGAGTCACGGCCATTGCTTGACCAGTTTGATCTCTATGAAAGCCTGAGAGAATGTTTTCTCTATAGGTGACTGTCCTTAGGCACACTATACATCATTGATCACTTGCTTCTGTGGCCTCATAATCACCCTGAACAGAAAATTTGGGACACCACTGAGTTACAGAATATTATAATACAGGTTCTCTTATATCCTGAGTCCTCACTGACCCTGAAGGGCTAGGACCAAAATATTGGCTATTCTTGCAACCCTTCTTTTTCTCTAATTTTTTGGTCTGCAAACTTAAGTTGTTAACCCTCCAGAATAGAACTTTAATGATGTTATTACCCTATAAAAGATAGCTGAGCTTAAATCACTATCTGTCTGAATATCAATCACCTTAGACATAACATGGAACAGGTATTTTCCAAAAATGGTTGATATGCTAAACTTTAAATCAATATATAGTGTGAAAAAATGTATAGAATAAAGAGAAACAATTACACATTTTTACACAGAAATTTAGAAATCTAACCATATACAACATTGTAGCAGGACAGTCCTATGACAATTTTTTTCATGTCTCTTGTTTTCTTTTATTACCTTTTTTTAAAGCAAACATTTACTTGAGAGAGAGTATAGCAGTAATTGATATGACATTAGAAGCAGATATTTCATTGATATGACATTTAGAAGACCAAAACAACAGGCTTTCCAAGCATGGCCCTAGTATTACACATTGCTATCTTCAGTGCAGTTGCTTAGTTCACAGATATCAGCATATATAGTTAGTCAGGGTGAGAATCCTACAATTAATTGCTAGCTTCAAAAACCTGATGGAGATTCTCCATCAGAATTGTTCTCAGGACCATTGCCTTAACAATCTTGTATATATAAACATTTGGTTTTTCTCCTGCCATGTTTCCTAGCTTTTTCCCTGCCCTCTCTTCATTGTTTAATCCTTAAATTCTCGCTTTCCATTTACTTGTGTTACACCTTTCAATTTTTATTTCTTCTTTTGAGTTCTTACACTAGGGAAACTATATGATATTTATATATGTGGGCCTGGTTTATTTCACTTACGAGTATATCTTCAACTGGCATCCACTTATATACAAAAGCTTCAAGTTTATCATTCTTTATAGCTGGGTCATACTCCCATTATATAAAATTCATCCTTTCTTTTTCCTTTTTTTTTTCAGCCTCTCCTACATTTTATTATAAATTTTAAAACTTTTACAATTCAGCCACACTGATAGATTTTAATTGAATAGCTTAATATAATACAATTAAAATGCTCAGTTATCAAACTATTGAAAGCACCATGAGCTATGGTTTCATATAAATAAATGTTGGGGTTTCATTTGAAACATTTAAGGAATGTTATTTTTTTAATTTTTTTTAATTTTTCCCATAATTTTATTGATAAATAGCAATGAGACAGTTTCAAATCAAATTGGTAGGACAGTTTCAATAATTATCACATTGCATACATTCTTCCTAGTGGTTAATTGCTGCACAAGATGCGGACTTGATATCCTATTTACAAACACCATTAGAACAAATCACTCTATTTATTAAGAGAATGTAACTATATATCTATCCCAACCACTTTGAATACACAGATACAAAATGGACATTCATCTGTATCCCCTTTTTTTGTTAAGTTCTGTTATTTGAATATTATAGGTGTGTAAACTCAGCAAAATATTCTAGAAGAGCCCAGTAGCCCATAATAGTATTGGGTCTTCCGCTTGACTGGCAATTCAGAAATTGTTGACCTGAGTCCCCTACAGCTCAACATAACAGCATGACTTTACTTCTTATATCTTGTTTTTATACTTTTCTGCTGGATGGTTAAGACCAAGGTAAAGCAGGACCTATGCAACAAGAGTTGTAGCTTTTGGGTCTGATAAGGTCAGTGAAATCCCCTCAGGATTTATCCTGAGATCCTGTACCTCAGATTGTAGAACCTTTGTCAGTGTCAGCCATGTGGATGAGTCACGGCCATTGCTTGGCCAAAGTGCTCTCTGTGAAATCCTGAGAGAATGTTTTCTCTCCATATGACTCTCCCTAGGCACACTCTACCTCATGGATCACTTTCGCCTTTGGCCCCATAATCTCCTTGATCAGAAAATTTGGACACTACTGAGTTACATGATATTACAGTACAAGTTCTCATATGTCTTGAGTCTTAATTGACCTTGGAAGGTTAGGGCCAAAATGTTGGCTTTCCTTGCAGCCCTCCTTTTTCTCTAATTTTGGTCTGCAAACTTAGGTTGTTAACCATCCAGAAGACAAGCTTATTGTTATTACCATACAACTTAGGCTGTTAAGCTTAACCTCACTATCTGTCTGCATATCAAACATCTTAGGCATAATATGGAACAGGTATTTTTCATCAGGTATTGATATGTTGAACTTTAAGTCCCTACAGAATATGACAAAAACATTTAAAAATGAGAATATATTTTAAAAATAGACATAAAGAATTATATACTTCTTACATTTATACATAAGTCCAAAAATCCCACCATATACAACCTTGAAGCAGGACAGTCCCACAATATTCCTTTTCCTGTCTCTTGCTTTCATTCACCACCCCCTTGTTCTTGAACAACCATCTACCCGAGAGACATCATAGCAGCAACTGGCATGTCATGACAAGGAGCCCAAATTCAAAAGACCAAAATGACAGGCTCTCCAAGCATGAAACTACTATCTTTTTTTTTCTTATTCCTAAATACCTTTTCTATTCCTGGGATTTTGAGTAAGATTACTACAGTCTTTGTAGAATCTGAAGAAAGAATCAAAACAGAATCTTTTTTAAAAGAAAATTACAAATTTTAATTACATTTAAAAAAATGAAAATGTATTTTTTTTAAAAAATGTAATTTGTTAGGATGCATGGCCAGTAACTTTCTCCTTTGTTCAGTTTATAAATATGAAGATTTTTAAATTTGTACTTCAAGTTTAGTCAGGGAAATGGATACTAAGTTACCTCTATCAGGGTTTGGCACCTAAAACTTCTAGGATAAGGAATACATTGACTTCTCTTCTGGGTTTAAATAAAAAAGCAACATGATTGATATATAAAATGCAAACAAATTGAAAAATGGGAATCCTAGAAGAAGTAAGATGAACATCCAGGAAAGTTTCAGGAGCAATCAGACTGCTGCCGCCATACACTCTCCTGGGTGACTTCCCCACAGAGTGCCTCAGGTCCTCTTCATACAGCAGCCTCCTCAACCAACAAGGGAAGACACTCTTCTCCCAGTTAACAGTACCCCACAGAATGGTCATCATCATAGGCGATGATAGTAGTAAGAGTCCTAGTGCAGGTCATAAGGTCCCTACCTCATCGGGTAATTTGTGAAAGGCTCTTAACTACACAGTGCCTTTAACCTAACTCTCTGAAAGCAGGTAGCATTCTGGATGTTGTAACAAGGAGCTTATTCATCTGTATTAATCAAAAGTGATTTGTCTACAAATGTCTGGGGAATATCTTGAAAACCACACTAAATTTGCCAGATTTTCCATGCATATTTAGTTTTTAATTATGACCAAGGAACCAACTATGATTTGTACTTCTTGTGTTTTTAGGTTTCCCGCTGGTGCCGACCGTTACCCATGCTATCACTCGAGCACTGTACTACAATGACAAGTAAGTAGTATGGTTGTTTTATGTTACTATGTTGAGAAATAAATATATTATACTTAAGTATATATTCCCTTTATTTCAGCTGCTGGATGAGTGTGGATACTCACCTGCTGTACATCATCCATGGCCCTGTGATGGCGGCACTGGTGGTAAGGATTGGTTTTAAATCTACTTGGAACATCATTGTCTCTTTGTTGGAACTTTTGTGAAAATATAAGTATTTATATGTGGCATATTTATTATAACTTTAAAATGAAAAGAACTGAATTATGGTCTAGGTGCCGAAAGCAATTTGATTCCACAAAAAATCTTTATTTAATTTGTGAGCGGGCATTACCATAAGCTCATTTTCATATGCATCTAACAACGGTATAGTTTAAGACTTCTATAGGAAAAGGTAAAGACCAAGAGGCTGTAGGTAGTGACAAGGTGCTACTAAAAATAAAATAAAATACCATATAAGAAGATATCCCCTGTGTCTCTTTCCTCCGATTCTACAAAGATGGTAGTAATCTTATTCAGAATCCCAGGAATAGTAAAAAAGTGTTTAGGAATAAGAAGAGATGAAGAATGTTACTACCTGAATTCAAGTATTTTTATTTCTACCTATGGTTTACCACATGACACCTACATTAGGACCAGAACCACTACTATTTCCATATTATATATTACATATTATCCTTTGCATTAACCACAAAGATATAGTTTCTTCAGATAAGAAAGAAAAAGTAAAACAGTCTTGATCACAGCTCGCAACCTGCTCCTGTAAAGAAGAAGCATCCATTCACAACTGATCAACTTGGATGTCATCAGACTATCTTCTAACTTCTCTACCTTTTCTAAGGAACTTCAATTTTTTTTATCATTCTTTAAAATAGAGATGTATTCACTCGCCAGTGTTGAACCTTTATAATACACCACAACAATTCAAATGTCTTTCTTTTCTAAAATTTTCAGATTAAATGTTACTTCTATTCTAGGTTTAAAAAAATCACTCTAACCATTTTAAAATAAAATATCAGTTAAATTTTCTAAGCAACTTTAATTTTAAAATTAACCTTCACAAACAAAACCAGCTTATGGCCTGTTGTTACATTTTTCTTTGCTGAGACAAAATATCTGACACTCAAGGTTAAAGGACAAAATGCTTATTTTAGCTCACTTTTTTAAGAGGTTGTAGTCCATAGTTGGCTGGCTCCAAGTACAGGAAATAGCAAAGGACATGACACACCAGATATAGTCCATGGTGTAGCTGGCAAAAGGCAGCTACAGCAAGCAGCAGCAGTCAACCTGGCTTCTTCCTTTCTCTTTATATTCCACCCAAGCTATAAGCCTATTGATTGGTGCCACTGCTACCCAGGGTGGAACTTCCATTATCCACACCCTTAATCCGGTAATACACCTTAATCCTAATCCAGCTACATCAAAATTCCCCTCCTATGATCACATGAGGCTTTGGGTGAACATCTATATACAAGCCATACATAGCATGACCCAAAAGATGTCAGATTCTTAATTTTTATTTACACTTAGGTCTTTTAATCATTGTATAAATTGATATGGTAGAGATGATATTTCATATCAAAATAAAATTAGAATGTTAGGGATATAGTTTAGTGCCACAGTGGTTGCTTAGCATGCTCAAGGCCTTGGCTTTGATGCAAAATACCACTACCCTCCAAAAAGGAAGGAAAATTAGATGCATTTTTCAGGTTTTCTACATAAAGAATATCATATCTTATGTACCTATCCATGTAAATTAGTCAGATATTTAATTCTTATTTTTAAACTTTGATATAGCTGGTATTAAATATATTTTCTAGGTAGACATTTTGATGCTCCTGGTAAAACTAATAATTATTAAAATCTTTAACATGCAAAGAAACTTGCCACATGACATTTACTTCTTCATGCAGTGTTTCTGCTTAGCAGAAGCCTGTCTGTGTCACAACAAACTTCTCTGAGACAGTTTTGCATCTATCAAATCCTCTTTGACATATAACAGCTCTAAGCATCTTCAGTTCTGACTCTGAGGTCTAGGAATTCAAATACCCACCTGCTCAGTGAGTTAGCAGTAAATAGCGGACATGTGTGGCCAAATGATGGTTTCTTACTGCATGCCACTGTTCTATTTGTCTAGAGTTCAGATTTGCCTCCATGTCCTGACTCCGAGCTATCAGCTATGAAAATTTGTTTAAATCAATTAACCCAAAAATTTTCTGCAGACTTTCATAAGGAAAGAATTAGGTTAAACACCCTAACAGTAAAAGTGTATCTTTGATGCACAACCAAACATGCAAAACATGATTTGTAGATTTATATATGAAGATCAAACAACAGCACCTCTAAAAATATATCTTAGGTGTCTCCATGAAGTTAAAGTATGAAAAGATTTCTAAAGTGGAATTAAGAAAGCACTTTAAGAAGGGATTGATAAATTCACTGTATTCAAACTGAGGTCATAATTTAGAGTAAAAAGGGAAACCATAGAGTTCAAGAAGAGGATTGCAATATTCCAAGTAAGGACTGATAAATTTATGAAATGTACTCAATTTCATTAATGCAGATTAAAATAACACTGAAGAAAAATAAGACAACACTGAAATAACACTGCGCCCCACTAGTATGGCTGATCTTTAAAAAGAGTGATCATAAGAAGGGCCAACAAAGGGAAGGGCAATTGGAACACCCAGTTGTGTAGCATGTTACAAGTGAAACATACATTCACTGTAGGAACAGGCAACTCTCCTTGGCAAAGAAATGAAAACGTCCACCCACACAAAGACTTGTATGCAACTATTTGTAGCATTTACTCATGGCAGTGAAAGAGTGGAAAGAACTTCAGTTTCCATTAACAGATACATAAATAAACTGTGCATAGTATTTATATAATAGAGTACCATTCAGGAATAAAACTGAATGGAATAGTGATACGCACAACATGGATAAATCTCACAGGAAACATGTTAAAACAAAGTAGTTAGACATAAAAGAGAATAAACTCTACAAAACTCCAGTTATAGTACAGCAGCAATCAGTGGTTGTCTGGTTGTGCCGGGGTAGCGATGTTTTGTATTTGTTTTAAGGGGTTGTTACCATGGGTGCACACATTTCACATTTGGCTAAGCTTCTCTGCTGCATGCTTTGTTTCTTCATTTTATTTAATTGGATTATTTTTAATGAAGATATATATATATATATATATATATATATTCACAAAAGGTTGAGCTAGCTGTCTCTACTGACACATTTATGAGTCTGCTTGACAATGAAAAGATTTAAAAGTGCCCTTTAAAACCTCTGTAAAACTTCTAAAAATCTAAATCAAGAATGAATATCTTCACTAAACTTGAACTTAACATTGTTACATGTACAGGAAACGCATTTTCTCACTTAGGGGAAAAAAAGAGAAAAGGAGCACAGCTCCAAGAAGGGTCTCTGGTCACACTGCTCCTCAGCATCTCCTGAGCCTCATAGAGGGTCTTTTGTGTTCTGTGTGGGTGACATTGATTTCCCACACTAGATAAACAAGAACTGAGGACAAGAAATGGCCTTACATGGTATCTATCTAAAGATTTTCTCATATTGTTGTGTTTCTGCAGGTGAATTTCTTCTTTTTGCTGAACATTGTCCGGGTTCTGGTGACTAAGATGAGGGAAACCCATGAGGCAGAGTCCCACCTGTACCTGAAGGCTGTGAAGGCCACCCTGTTCCTGGTGCCCCTTCTGGGTGTCCAGTTTGTCGTCTTTCCCTGGAGGCCCACCAACAAGGTGCTTGGAAAGATCTATGACTACTTCATGCACTCGCTGATTCACTTCCAGGTAAAAAACCCAACAGAGCATTTATTCAGCTAGCTGATCTGTCTGCCTCTAAAGCCCATGAGGATAAACACTGTAACTTACACTCTTCAATTCTGCCATTGCCAGTCCTGTGGATAACCCACTACTATTGTGGACTACTGGACTATATTGGAATATTTTGCTGAATTCACGCACCTACTATATTTAAATGGCAATGGAATACCCATCCTTAACAAAACCAAACAAATAAAGGGATACAAATGAAGGACAATTTTGTATCTGTATATACAAAATAGTTAGGATAGATATACAGCTACTTTCTCTTAATTCAATGAGAAGAAAGATTTGTACTAATACTGTTTTGACAGGGTATCATGTTTGCATCTTGTACTATGAATAACCAATACAAAGACAACAATATGCATGTATTAATTATTGAAACTGTCCTATTAATAGTTTTGAAACTGTCTCATTGCTATTTTTTCTCAATAAAATTAATTAAAAAAGAAAAAAACACAAAAAATAAAATAAATTTTACATGCTGTATAAAAAAAAAAGAACAACAATTCAACAAACCCAGCCCAAGTTTCAAACAAAACCAGGCAATTGAAGACTTCTGCTTCTCTTTACCATGCACTCTTTCCCACGACCTGCAGGACTCACATCTGGCCCGAGCCAGACAGGTGGTCACATGCTCAGTAACTGATAGACCTTCCTTACATAAGTAAATGGAATCTTGGGGTAATGAGAGAGAATGGATTTCTAGAGAGCCGCCCATCTCTCTGCTTTGCCATCTGTTTGTTGGGCAAATGTGAGGAATTCAGCTAAGCTACTTTGGTGACTACAAAAGAAAGTACCCAGCTGCCTCTTCACATAAGAAATTGGAGGGAATTAATAGGAGTAGTCTTGGAATGTGCCCCATCTACAAGACTAGAGAGGAGGATGGCAGCTCCATTTCCACTCACTCTGCCCCAGATCCAAAGTTCTGGTGGAGTCCTATTGCTAGGTATTCTGACTTAAGTTAGGGCATGCATGGTCCTCAGGCAGGGCTAATTCTACCGTGGGCTCTTAGTTTCTTTGTCCTGATTGAAAATTCCAAATTAGATTTAGTTTCTGTAGCCAAGATTTCATGTGAAAAGGTAGCTAAAATCAAATGTGTTAAAAAAGAAAGTTTACATAAAGGAGAGATGACCAGAAAGAAGGAGGTAGACCTTTGCAGACAGGGAAGGAGATCTGAGGGAGGGAGCCTCAGGGAATAGAAAACAACCAATATGCTTGCATGAATGTGACAATTTTCCAACACAAACCTCATCATTCTGCACTGCTAACAGGTATAAGTTCTTTTGAAGAAAAAGTTTAGGAATTGGTTCTTTTCTCCCCCAGCCCCTAAGCAACTGTTTAGTAATTTAAGTTATTGTTCTGGTCATTACCAAAGACTGAGGTCTCTTGAACAATGAACAAGACCCTTAAGGTTACTAGTACTTATCCTTTTGTATAAGAGATGGGTGCAATTATAGTATTTTACCAGTTACGGTACTATACTAGTATACATTCCCAGCACCTAATGTAATACTCTTTTTTGTAATACTCTTGTAAAAGATTTTTCTACTATTAAACTTCTTAAGATCTCAGCTTTTAAATTTTTAAGTACAAAGACATAGTGCAACCCACTATAATTAGCATAGTCTACTGCACAGCCTACTAAAAATTCTCTACAATTAAGAGAGCAGTGATTAACCAGATTTACTAGAGTTGTCATAGTTGCCAAATAATAGAATCCTAACAAGAAAAATACATTTCTAATGGACTATCTGGCAGCATAGCCCTGAATATGGAGGCTATGTACCCCTTTCTCCTGCCTTTATTGATTATGTTCATGGGCTATTGTAGTATTAAAATATCTCTCTCCAGTCAGTCTATTTGTATTGATTATGAAATAAAATACTGCACACAAAAATAACGTCAACTTCAATTTTCCTTCTCTTTGTAGGGATTCTTCGTTGCGAGTATCTACTGCTTCCACAATCATGAGGTAAGAATGCACTTCTTATGCTACTTAACAGTTTATATAAAGCCAGCATTTCAGTTTCCAAAGGGCCTCTGTACACAGTCCACTCTACCCCTTTCTACAGTTGACCTCAAGGAGTTTCATGATTAGCAAGACTGTCCAATAAATTGCACCTTTATGTTTCATAAATTGCAATCCCAGTCCATTGTCCCAGGCTGAATCTCATCTTCAAGCTGTGGTCAACTGCAGATAGTCCCCAGGTAGCAGCTAAGCTCCAGTTTCCTGAGGCTGCATACTGAGTAACTCAGAAGGAATGCAGAAAACTATTGTCTTCCCACAGAAAGAGAAATCCTGTCCCTAGTCCTTTTGGGAGACCCTGGTCCTTGCTAAACCAGAGCCAGCATCAGCCAGATTGTCCTGGTCTCTTTCCAAAGTGTGCAGTGCTTACAATTCAACATTTTGAAAGTCACTCTAAAGTTAAGATTCTTAAATAAATCATCTTGTCTCTGAACATTTATACAATCAAATCTAGAGATTCATGTGGCCAGTATATTCTGGGCCCTTTATCAGGATACCCTTCCTTCTGATGCAATCCTGCCTGGGATTGCAATTTATGAAACATAAGAGTGCAGTTGCTATAGCCCCAAATGTTCTTCCAAGAAACTTCCAGTTTTCAAGGGACATAATTTAAAACACTCCTCATTTTTCAGGTGAGAAATCAAAGCTCCAGAAAAATGTGCCTTGCTCAGTGTCACCAAAATAGTTGTAGTGTAGCCACTCTACCTGAGATTTTCTGATTCTCCATTAAACTAGCTCCATCTCAATTAAATGTCTATGTAAAGCTCTTTAAATAGTGGAGCAGGGCCGGCAAGATAGCTCAGCGCACTAAGCACCTGCTTTGGCAAGCTCAGGCACCAGGGCTCGATCCCTGGTCCCACATGCCACACTGGCCTCATCCCTGGGGTGCACTGAAGCATTGACCAAGTCCTGGTGTGGTGGTGCACACCTGTAATCCCAGTGCTGGGGAGGCTGAAAATGGGAGGATCACTATCGAGTCCGAGCTGCATAGTGAGACCCTGTGTCACTACATTAAAAAGAAATGGTTTAGTTCATCTTAATTCATGTTAAGAATAATTTTATATAAGAAGTCACATTTTGAGGGCCAGGGAGATAGCTCAGTAGAATAAGCACTTGCCTGGCAAGTGCAAGGTCCTGAATTCAATCCCCAGTACCGGAAAAAAAAAATGCATCAAAATAATTACATGAGGGCGGGGGAGATGGCTCAGTAGAATAAGTGCTTGCCTGGCAAATGCAAGGCCCTGAGTTCAATCCCTGGTTCTGCCAAAAACAAAACAAAACAAAAAAGAAGTCACATTTTTTTTAGATATCAACATATTGTTTTTCCAGGTGGTAATTAAAAACTTTTTCTAATACCAATGTATATGCAATTTATTCTCTATTCCCTAATTCTGTATTCATATAGTATCTAGTGACCATCTAAAATATTTTAATGCTGCATAGTCTGTTACCCATCTGTAATCCAACACAACAAAATTTTTATTATTCTCTTTTCATTTGGGACATTTTATTCCTTCATTCATCATTTCACCAAAACCATATTCTTCTATTCAACAGAACTATATTTTGTATCCATTATCACTAGGGACCAGAGTAGGATGCTAGTACAAAATGAGGCATTCTGCTGCTGCCAGCTGTTAGATTATCCTCTTATTTTTTTTTTCTTTTTCTGAACAGTAAAATCCAATAAACGGATAGGTCTTTAATTGTCTTATGTATAGTACCGTGGTAGTAAATATTCTGTGAATGTCTACCATGCTTTCTGAGTAGTTTCTGGTTGTGCACAAAAAAAAAAAAAAAATCTAAAATAGGGCTAGAGGTGTAGTGCATCAGCACAGCACCTGCCTGGCAAGCATGAGGTTCTGAGTTCATTTCCCAGTACCAAAAAAATTAAAGTAAAAGAAAATAATGTCAAAGTAATATCTGATGCAGGAAGGGCATGCCTTTAAAAGCACAGAAGAGTTACATGCATTTGAAAAACAATTACAACTTTTTTATCTTAACTATGTTGTCATTGGAAATGTTGGACAGAGCATAACAGCAGCTAGATAAAAGAAAGACCTATCAAGGGACTATCTTTTCCAGAAACTAAGAAATTCATCTTGGAGACTCAAATCTGAGCAATAATTTCTTTGTTCTATACTAGTCTTCTCAAAACCCAGCAGATATCAGAACCACCTGGAAGGTTTTTAACAACACAGACTTCTAACTCCCGCACAAAGAATATCCTGTTTAGTGGGTTTGAAAGGGGACCAGTTCTCACTGCTTCAGCCTCACAAGACGTGAATGACTTTCGCTGCTTCTGAGAGAGGCACACGCTGAGGCCCAAGGTTCAAGACAGATTCGAACACATTCTTTCCACAGTGACTGGCCTTGACTTAGTAAATGAAGCACACGCAAGGAACATGAAGAAAATTAACACCATTGCTAAATGTTCTCAAGATTTTAAGCATTACTACAAATGATATGTATTGTTGCCTTTAAAAGAAAAAAGTCTTTTCTACACATCAGAAATGTAGGCAATGAAAGGGGATTAAAAATAGTGAAATGTCTAACTACCTCAAATTATAGGGCATACAAATTAGGTAAAGCAAAACCAGAGATAGAGGTGTTGCTGAGATAATTCCAAAGGATGGGAAAACTCTCATGAAAACTTTCGTGAATAATATTCAGAAGTGCCCCTTAGCAGGTGACATGCAACCCTTTCATCTTCTGATGGGACCTTTTGATGTATGTGTGTATGGTCCTGGGGACTGTACCCAGAGCCTTCACACTGAAGGAGTACATTCCCCATCCTTTCTTACTTTTTATTGTGAGATCAGGATTTTCTTAGTCACTAAATTGCCCAAGCTGGGCTCAATTTGTGATCCTCCAGTCTCAATATTCCAGAGTGCTGAGATAACAGGTATAAGGAAACCATGCCTAGCTTTTCTTCTGAGACTTTTGAAAACTCCCTCTGAACTTCTGTCTACTTGGACACCCTAAGTTTTTGTTTAAGCTTCAGTGACAAGGACAATCTTGGAAGAGAGTCTCAATTCATGCTAACAATGTAATTCCTCTGTGGTGAAAATATACTGAACCAGTGTCTTTACTATTGCTCAACAGGATGTTTAGTGGTTCCTGATTATAAATCTGTCTTTTAAGGAGCTGCAGTGCAGCTCAGAGAAAGCCAAGCTTTACTCAGGACCGTGGTTCTGCCACATCCAGCCCTCTTACTGTGGCCACATGACAGCACCTCAGTCCTCTCAGCTGAAAATAAAGATAACAGTGGTACTTGTCCAAAAGGGCTCTTGTAAAGGTTAAATAAGGTCCCACAAATGAAGTATTTGCAATGTGGCATATGCTGAGCCCTCAGTAAATTGACAGCTCAAGCTTTGTGCCACCCTTGGCCCCTGTGTGGCTTTAGTCAATGCGCAGCTCAGACACACTGCAATCTGACTCTTCAACACTGTTCTTTGTTTCTTTTAGATATCCTTATAGGTAAAGGGCTTTATGCCCAACCACCTGTGGCCAGAGTTTAGTAAGCAAATTCTCAGACTGCTGAATCATTCTGATTGGGACTTGTCACTCTGAGTCTTTCAGGAGCTCTGCTATGAAGAGACAAATCGCCAGCTATGTTGCAGACCCCTTGACTTGTTTTTCAACAAATCAACATGCACTACATTCAACCAATACACCAAACAAACCGCCTTCTATTTTACTAAATGTCATTAATAACAAAATAAAATCATAAAATGCAGAAATGAATGCCCACAATACCAGGTGAACTGCCTTTCTATTGGGAAACAATGTGATATGTTGTTTACCTTATATATTCAGCACAATCTGAATATAAGAAGAAAAAAGAAAAACCAGCAAATAGCCTTTGCGGAGAGAGTAACACAGTTTTCCCTTTTGCAAGGCCCTCTTCCAAGACGCTGCATTCCGTGGCCACCATGCGTAAAACTCAGTCTTTGAGTTCATAATTGGCAATTTCACTTCCTTTTACCTTTGCTAAGCTCCAGGAGTTGTGAATGCAGGCTTTGTTTGGGTCATTTCTGCAATCGTATAAAAACAAGGCTCCCTTTTCACTTCCAGGTCCAAGCCGCTGTGAAACGCCAATGGACACAGTTCAAAATCCAGTGTAACCAGCGCTGGGGACCCCGCCCCTCCAACCGCTCCGCTGCTCGAGTTGCAGCCCCTGCTGAGGCTGGCGGTGACAACATCCCAGTTTACATCTGCCACCAGGAGCCAAGGAATGATCCGCCCAACAACCAAGGCGAGGAGGCTATTGAGATGATCGCCATGAATGTCATCGAGCAAGAGTCATCTGCTTGAATGTGAAGTGCACTGTGTCGTGATCTCTGAGCCTTCATTTCCTGGGAGAAAAACTAGATCGAGCATTTAAAGTGATTCCCATCCTCTCAGGAGCTGAGCATATCATTTGTGAAGATTTATTACGTGAATTTGTCCATTGTGATTCTGGAGAAAGTTATTCTTGGTACTATTGCTTTGGGAGACAGTCTAGGAATGGAGTCTCCCACTGCAACTTGTGAACTCCATCATTCATCCAAAACTGAGATGCAGATGTCTTAGTAACACAAGCATAGTCGCCAAGAGAGACACAATGAAATTGACCTAGTTCAGATACAGGGTGCTCCTTGTAAATCTTGAGCCATTTATACCTTTGAAAAATTATAATCACTATCAATATTTTTCTTTTTAACTCGAGATTTTGAATTGGACTATTTCTGTTTGGACTATGGATCGGACTTTTAATTTTTTTAATTCAATCAATTCTGATATTTCTCACATGTTTCATCATCCATACAGTGAAAACTACACGGATTGCATGACCTCTGCTGGACAAAATGGCTTTCAGATATAAAGATAACTGGCAATGTGGATAGAAAGGCCTGCATTTGGCAGGAAGATGTGATGCATTGAAAGCAAAAGAAATTTAGAAGCAAATTGCTCGAACTGTTACACATTCCACTTGGTGTGGGATAATCCTGTCCACAGGGCAGGCTGTGTCTGTTGGTCTACACACTGATTGTTCCTTGGTCACTGACACTTACTAATTGGGAGGTCACAAAGAATTCACTGCTAAATTTTTCACAAAACTGCCAAAATGTAATTCTTAGTGGAAGAGAATACTCTTTAAAGAGAGTTTTCTACTTTCTTAACATACAGGATTTATAAAGCAAACCACTCCAAGGCTTATAAAGCAGATTACCTCTTGCCCTTGGGTGCTATCTAGCTGTAAAAGAAAAATTGGTTCAAGACTGGTAATTAGAAGACTCCATGTAAGTCCATGAACTGCCTTCCACCCAGCTTCAGAATGCAACAAGAGCTCGGTCTTTTCCAACAAGAATCAGTAAAGCTAATTGGAAAATGGTTCAGAGTTGACCTCTTGTTTGCTGCTATTAGAAAACAGGAGGGGAAAAGATATAACTATTACAAGTTAAACCACACATTAATTTATGTTAAAAGTTTCTCACTATGAGTTGATTTCTACATCACTCTTTATTCCCCAGTGTGAAAGCTTCAAAAATCCCTGAATACACCAAGATCATTACTGACATGAGAAATTAATTTGTAAATATTCAACAGTCATCAGTTACCATTATTTAATTTGTATGTTAAGTGAGGAGATACATTGCAATGCTCCGGATCTCAGATCTCATCAATGTCATCTTATGCCACCTCTCAGAAATGATTTTGTTTTGGGGAGACAATAATTGATTTGTTCTGGTTATAATTTAATGCGCCGGGAGAAAACTATTTTTCTCAGAAAAAAATGCTATTTTGGATACCAAACGTAGTTTAAGTCTCCTTTACTGACTGTAAGGGGGAGGAATTGAAAAGACGGTATTTTTGCAATCACAGTGTTATAGTAATGTTCCTATTTTTGTTTACAAATGTGGAAAACAGAGTATTTCAGGCAGCTCTAGTACAAATGTGATAATATATTGCTAAAGTATTTTAGATGTTATTGTGCTAAAATAGTACGGGCTGAAGAAATCAAAACAGCTTCTCATAGTATTGCACATAGTGATAAAATTATGTGAAACACTTATGTTATGTATATGTATAAATTAATACAGAGAATATTAAAAGCCAAAATGTGTATATTTGCATATTTTTATAAAATACATTTTTCATCTTTTCATTCATTCATCTTGTCTCCTGCTCATTCCATGCTTTCTTTTGCATTTCAATCATGGACTACAAATATCCCACTTTGCTTTATACTACAGAAGAGGGAAGGATGATCCAAAACTACAGATTAGAAATGAGGAGCAAAAATATCAAGATTCTTAATTTTATTAGTTCAACCACAACCAGTCTTGGACTTGACTATAAACCCATTAGCACTGTTTTCATATTCTTGATAAAAAAAAAAATCAGACACAACTGTCAGTCTGTATAGTATAAGTTCAAGGACCACAAAAAAGAAATACAGATCAAGAAATGTAATCTTCTATTGGCCTTAGGGGTTTTTTTTCTTCATTATGCTGAGACCAGACCTTATCTGTCCAACATCACCTCGGATTATTAGAACTGAGCTAAATCCCTGGGCCTAGAATTGTGAGTTAATATAAATCAGGAGAAAGAGACTAAGACTGGATAAAAGATAACTAATTGAATACCATTAGAATTTGTCAAGGCCAATATTGGAAAAATTTTATAAGATTTGGAACAAATAAAATAGGAAAAATAAGGATGAAGTGAATACTACAAAGGACTAATAATACAGAGGGAATAGAAGCAATTTGAAGACACTTCACATTGTGCAATAATATTCAAAATTGTGGTCTTGTGAGCTCTAGAGAACTTTCAGCAGAGCTTCAAAAGGACTGCATCTTTCCCCGAATGTAAGTTCCAAACAGAAATATAAATACAGGTTATTATCTCTGTGATCTTGAAGAACAAAGGTAAATGTCTGCCATAGCAATAAATCAGATTCCTCAAGATAGTGAATTGCATTTAGATGAGCAGCTGCTCATCTGCCTTGATTCTCTGCTACAAAATGATCTAAAATAGGCCTTTGAGTGAAAAATAGCTGTCAGAGTTCCTGAAGAGAGAAAATACATTGAAAGAGACATAACACAAATGCTCATCATCATGGGAATACACAATTCTCACTCATTCCATCATTCATTACTCATCAGTTCATATTTTATTTATGTCCTGTCCTGCTATAAAACTATTAATAGTAGTTATCACAGAAAAAGAAACTTTGCCATAGTAACTGCTTCTTTTTCTGTGTGGTGCTAAACGCCAACACCTACTAAATGAAAACCATGATGACTGACACTATCTGAGGGGAAAACAAAGGCTGAAGTCAAAGGCTGAAGTTGAGTCTGAGCTTTGTTCCTCATCCCTGTTGGGCAGAAGAGCTCCAGCTCCAAGAACACTTCCCAAAAAAGATGTCTACACCCACTGTGTCTCCTAGGGGACTCCTGCTGGACAATGAGATCCAGAACAGTGGTTCTTCCATGGACTATGTTACAACTACTGCTTATCTTGAGAGTTAACAGTGGGAGTTGCCATGGGGGTATTCATTCAATGTAGAGGTCAGAAACCAGATTGAGAAAAGCAGTCAAGGAAACTCAGAAGCAAACTCTATTTGTTATTTTGAAAGAACCAAGAGTCTTAGTCCTACCTCCAGTTCATACAAAATTGATTTTAATGAACTAAAACCTGGTGTGAAAAGGAGAATGTGAGAAATAATAACTGGAAACAAAGATAATAATATTGAGTGCCTGTGAGGGCAAAGAAAGTTAGAGATGCCACACTTGAAAATTAAGAACTATATTTTTGATGATTTTTGTCCTTCTGGACATAAAACTAATGTCTTTTTCCTGTGATCTTTGAATCAATCACAAGAAGCATTGAAAGAGAAAAGACAAAATAGAAATTTTAACTAATATATATCTGAAACATATTCTACTATCACATCTTTCTCCATTTAGATGAGCAAGTATCTCTGAAAGATTTGAGCTTCTCCAGTATCAGAAGCATCGCCCAGCCAGTCTCTCACAGCATTGATCAATGTTAGCTTTGCATTTAAAGAAATCCAGTGGCTTCTAACTCTCAGAAAGCTTTTCACTGTGACATAATTGATCTTTCCCTCCTCTCTCCCCTACTGATTAGTACCATTGTACCATGTCACTATATTCTTTGCTTAAGATATCTATTATCATACATTTTAATTTCGAAAACAAATGCCCTCACATAAAATCTCAGCATATTGCTCATGAAGTGCTAGTTAGGAATTCTGTAAAACCCATTCAAGAAATATATCTCCATCCACACCTGCCAACTGGGTGGCCAAAACTACCACACTGGTCTCTCACATGGAAGTTTCACATCTAAACATAGACCCAGCTACAAAATCCCAAACCAGAGTGGGTACTCTGGGGACAGCAAGTATTTCTCTAGATGCAGTGCCTTCCAGTGCACTCACACATTGAAGTTTCTGTCTGCTGTCATCAGAAGGATATTGCAGGCCAAAAGTTATGGAAAGCACCTCAAATATAGATAATTTATGAAGAAAAATAGATACAAATGCCAATCATTGAAATATTATTCTCCTGAGCGGTCACCAGAAAGCTCCTCCACCAGGCACAGAGAAGCACAGTATAGAGGGCCTGGGACTCAGGAGACTGTCATGGCACTGCCTGTTCTGTCCTTGCAGGGGGAGGTGACTGTCCACTACAACAAGCTTCAGGTAGGCCCCAAGCAGGGTATATCCTTTGACATTGGTAAGACAGGCACAGCAGCAGCATCCAGTGACCCACCAGACCCCCAGCTCAAGGCAGGAGAACCCAGCCACGTGCCTGCCTATGACAGTAGCATTGATTGTTTTGTGGCTGGGAGCTCTGATGTTTTCCTGACCAAGCCAATTGGAAAGGCCAGGGCCGCTCCTTATAACTGTCCTCAGGACCCTATCCCCAGATTTTCACTACCCTGTGTTACCCTTGTGCCCTGCCACCTCCTCTCAGACCTTACTGTGTCCCAGAACTGCTTATAGGCCAGCTCTGGGCTAACCCTGTCCAGTAAAAGAGGTAATTGGCTCTGGGCTGTGCCTGAACCCAGCACACACCCTACCATACTGTGCTTCATCAGCCTTCTACCCCCTAGAAGATACAAGGTCCAAGCACGAACTAAGGCCTTGGGCACAGGGTCACAAGGTCATAGACCAGCCTTCTGCCCTGGGACAAACTGCCTTCTGCTAGGAGGGTCAGGCCTTGAGTCTGTGCTTCCTGTAAGCCTATGAGCAGGACAGCAGGTATGAGGTTCTCTGGATCACTCTTGGAATTATGGATCAA